TTTTTTTTTTTTTTTTTTTAAACACCTTCCCGAGCAAGCCTCGTGCCCGCCCTAAGTGAAGGTGGGCCTGAATATCCACGAGAGGGCCTTATCTCAGCATTTTCCAATGTGGGTCTCAGACAGTTGGTGCGCGCCAGTTGGTTGAAGTGCTTCGGAAGTACTGTTTCTTTTTTTTTTTCTTTTTTTTTTCTTTTTTCCCCAACCAACAGGGGCCCTGTGCCCAAGGCTCAAATGATAAAGTGAAGTACAACACATACTACTCAGTCTGGTCACCGTGGTTTAACTGTGGCGTCGGATGGGGAAACCTGGAGAAGGGACTGGTGGTCCGAGACACCACTGTGTCCACCCCCGGGCCCAAGGCCACGGCTGTTCCCTGTGCATGAATATAGAGAGGATGGAGGTCAGGTGCAGTGTACTGCAGCAACGAATCTTAGTCTGGTAGCCTGCAGTACGAAGTTAACGACAATCTGAATCTGAGTTTGGCATGACTGCATGAACAAACCTGGAAGGCAGGTCAGGTTCGGCCTATTGAGCAAGCAATGCTGGTCACTACGGCCTTCACCCGAATAGAACGCCCACTGGCAGTCATCACCGATGTATCTAGACCGAAATTCAAATGTAACGACTGCGCATTCTATCTGGGCGACGACAGGCACAGTCTCGTCCACAGTGCATCTCCTCCTTGCCCACTCAAGTCTCGCGTACTGAAATGGGCTTTCAAAGCTGGATAGGCTTCACCCAAGGCTCACCACTTGTGCAAAATGGGAATGAATCTTCCACTGGAACATTGATAGATACACTGGCATTTCTTTTGTCTTTTATGCATGTAAGTAGTGGGAGCCACTCTCCAAAAATGTGGAGTCTCAGATTCTGTGTGCAGAGCTGTCAGACTCCCCAACAAGACCTAACATAATTTGAGAGTCTGGGCCTTGCCACACCACTGTCAAAAACGCGATCTTCGATACTAGTTTCTCTTTTGGCCACACAGGCTGTCGAAATTGGAGACGGGAAGCAAATTCTCAAGCTGTCGGAGAGAGCATGCTTCTCCGAGTCGTCCAGATGGCACAGCCTGCTGCGCCGATGCTTTCAACAGTCCTCAGCTGGCCCCATTGACTTCTCTTCGAGAAATTTGGTGAGTGGGTGTGTGAGGTCCGGACTTGGGATGGACTAATGCTTGTTGTACCCTCAGGCGTGCGTTCGTCTTTAAATTTTCCATCTTGCATTCATTCACAAGTGCGTCCATTCCACAGTCCTGTCCGAAGGAAGCTGTCGAATTTATTTAATCGAACAGCCGACGGACTGTTTTTTTGCCGAACGCCCGAGGGTAGGACAAGCATTAGTCCATCCCGAGTCCCGACCTCACACACCCACTCACCAAATTGTTCGAAGAGAAGTCGATGGCGCAGTCCTGACGGAAGGGGGGCAAACTACTGTAGAAGGGAGGCTGTCGGATTTATTTTATCTAACAGCTGTCGGATTTTTTTGCCTTTCGACAGTGGTGTGGCAAGGCCTGGTACTGTTCCCGAATTTCCATTGGTGTGCTGCTGCTTGGGCCGTTGAGCACACCAATGGAAATTAAAAAGTCCCTGGACTTTTTGATTGTGGCACATACTTTTAACTGGGGTAACTTTGTGACTGCTGCCTGTGGAACACGAGTGTCCTTCACCTGTCACGGTGGGTCACGACTTCCCAATATGATTTTTCAGAATGAGACGTGATTTTTGCCCCTGGGATTTTCCAATATGACTGTTAGCAGGGTGGCTGTGGGGACTGGACTGCTAAGGTGCCAGACTGTGACTTTTCTGAAACTGACCGTCTTGGCCTTTCGCGGCCAAGGCCTCTGGCCCTGAGATTCGGATTCGGGTTCGGAATCGTGGAAGGCCTTTCAAAAACATACTCTGATGTGTTATGTACAATGTCATGCGGATCTAATGCTCTTGGCTGTCAATACAGTCTGCATACATTCGATATTTTTTTATTAAACCACCAGTACTTGGCCAAGCTATCCACAGCGGAAGAAAGTAGAGTAGAAACGTTTCTAGTTGGATGAATTTGGGCACTCCTGAAGTGGGCCGTTCATTTCCTAAGACCGTGGCTTGTTAAAGCACCAGTACATCGCACGTCGGCCTGCGGGTGTCAGCATGAAGCCCACACCAATTCGGAGGCCGCCGACTTTTCTTTCCAACGGCATTTCACGGCGCCCCATGGCCACTCTGAGTGTTGCTTGTGGCCGCAAAAACTTTCTGCAAGGCTGGGACTGTGTACTTGCAGTTTAACGGGCACGACTTTAGGAATTGGTGGTGGCTTAAGGTAAATGTCAAATCTCATGACTGTTTTCCTTGCTACCTCCTTGGCGTTCCTTCTTTTTTTTTTTTTTTTTTTTTTTTT